AAATAGAAAATGTAGGGATCTATATTGGACAAGCCCTAAATTTAAAGAATTTTATTTATTACTACTGTTGGAGATGCTATAAATGTACATATTATTGATTCCCTAGAATGTCAGTAGACGGATGTTGTATGCAAGAATTTTGTTCCCTCTTATAAAATAGCTAGCCTTTTGAACTTTTGCAAGTAGCCATTGTAATGCCTTTGTAATTGAGCTGTGGTAGGCGCTGTACTAGCTGTGCACAGCTCATTTCCATGATAGATGTTGCATTGGTGCATACGCTAACATCATTTTGTCATTACTGCTAGGTTATGAATTTTGATGATAAAGCCTCGCTATTTAATTGGTTTAATCAATTATGGATCAATAATGCTAGAGGAGATACCAACTTTTAGATACAAATTGAGGTATGTATTAGTTTTTTATTTGCCGTGAATAAATAAAGATTGTGAAACACTGCCACATTAATTAGCGTCTAAAAAATAATGTAATAAGTTGATGTTTTTAATATCTCGAGTTATGAATTTATGAGTTGTTGAGAACACGACATCAAATTCAATGGCATATGCAATCTTCTTGAGAACATGACATCAAATTCAATAGCTCAAAGCCTGTCAAGCCCATACATCTAGCAACAATTGCATGCCAACTAACTTTGGAGCTTCTTTTTGCCATTAATGTTCTTCCATACCTCCAAAATCCGTTGTGTTTTTATCTTGGCTGGCATGTTGACAGATAATCATTAATGTCTGAAAAATGTTCGCAACGTGAATGGGTACATGGATAGAGAGGGCTGGCTTGATGAGGAGAAAAAAGACAAAAAGTCATATGACAAAGATGAGGAGAAAGCTGGCTACATGGGCTTGATGTTTTAGGGAAAACAAAGGTCTTCGTTTTTGTGTACACGCCATGATTTCCCGAGTTGGGTCAACTGTAATAATACAGAAATATTACACAATAATGTGATGAGTTTCAACGACATTGGCAACTTTGGGGCACCCAATAAGTTAGCATTGTGCCGTGCTACTTTAAAGAAAAATAATAATAATCAGTTTATTTTTAAGGAAAATTATTGTTTATTTATGATGGTAATACATTGTGACATATTAATACATTAATAACACATATGTTGCAATTTATGGAGTTATCAATTCAGGTTTAGTTAGAGTTAAGATATATATTAATGAATTATGACATTAATATGCATGACATTTGACTTTTTTAATCGCATGACACTTGGTTTAGTAGTATTTCTTTTTTCATTAACCTTTAGAAATTTTTTAAGGTGTGACTGTTGCACCATCACCTAATGCTACTAATTCATGTATTATAATATAGGTGGACATCATAGTTGATATGTTATGAATCTTGAGTATAGAATTAATATATCGATACATGTGTTATCCACTCATTTGTGATAAAAATATAATAGTAATATAATTATTAAACAGACAGTATAAAAGCTTGAATTTGTTTAAACATGGAGAGCTTCTATTTACACTTGAAAAAAATCATCCACCCTTTGCATTTTTTTGTATCTTTACACTTCAAAAAAATGTCTTATATTAGCTAACATAAAGATATTTTGAACTTTTAAAATTGTATTTTTTTTTTTTGCTATAACTTTCATGAACCCTAAACCAACGGCCGACATGTTGTATCATCAATACTTTGATAAAGTGAGTTTTTTTTTTTTTTTTTGGTTTTGCTGCAATAATTAGGCTGCACAACTTTCCTTTTATTAAATTCTTTGATATTTACTCTATTAAAATCAAATTCGAAATACCTCTTCTAGTACATAGAGGCTAAAAATGAAGGGTTATAATGAGAAGGTCCTTAATAGTCGTTTGATTAAGTGCAAAGCTATTATTAGACTGTTGGATTGAACCTCTGTAACCCCTCAACATAGGCGCAAGAGCTGGGCAATGCCGAGCCTCAAATGGCTTTGGGTTACCCTTGGTGCAAGAAACAATCAATGGGCCAATTTGTGTATTCACAAATTAGTCCATTTTAGGAAGAGTCCGAACCCAATTACATAGTAGCCCAGCCCAATATATAAAAGGCTTCAATTAGGCAAGTACCCATATCTCTATAAAGTTATATTAAAAAAATAATTATAATTATTATTTTTTTTTTTAAAAAAGGGGCTTCATAATTGAATTTGAAAATGGCATATTTATTAATTCAAAGAATAAAAAACATTTTGTGGGATTTCTGACTCTAGTAGTAGAGCACTTTACCCCTACACCCACAAGAAGATTTGAGTCTTTCTCCCCTCCACCTCTAAAAAAAAAGAATGAAAAACATTTACACCCATCAAAATGTCTTGAAGACTGAAAATTCAGAGTGTAATGAACACATGAAAGATAAAACCATGATCAAAAGTTCCCTATCAATCAAACAAGAGAGTTCTTGGTTGATTTCTTAACCTCATGACCATCTTTATCTATACTCAAAAGTGGAATGCCATCCTTATCTTTAATCTGGGAGCCCAGAGAGAGGTCACCGGCTTGCTTCTTTTTGTTCTCCTGTAAGCAGAAATATGAATACAATCCCATCCCAAAAATGGCAACCAGAATTCCAATTATGTTCCTGTAAGTGAAAGGGTCATGAAGTAATGTGTAGCCAAAGCCCAGAACAAGGCATGTCTTGAGGTGGCCTAGAACTTGATATGTGACAGGGGATGTCTTGCCAATTACTAGAAAGGTGCTGAAGTTCACAGACACAGCTATGAGGCATGAAAGTATGATGAATACCTGCACATATACAATTGCTTGAAAGATCGAATCACATTCATATATGTACCATATGACAATAGCATGTAATATACGCAGCTATGAGGCATATAATAATATGCCAACTTTTAAGGTATTTAACATGTTATGTTGTTAGATTGCCAACTTTTCTGTTTTTGTGAAAATTGCTAATTGTTAATCTTAAGTGACACATGCATTGAACAAGAAGTCACGTGATTAATGATACAGATTCACGGTTTGACAACATAACATGTCAGACTGTCTGATAAGAGAACATTATGTAGATGTGAAATTTTTTCTTGTTGATCAATCAATACCATTAATTATGTAGATGTTTGATCAAATGCAGGGTCAAAATGGTGATAATTTGAGAGCATAACATGCCATGTACTACAATAGCGTCTGACTAGAGAACATTACCCATATGTATGATATATTAATGAATTGATAGATGAAGAAAGGGAGATTATACCAAGACTATGGAAGAGTATTTGTGGGCAAAGACATTTTGCTTGGTGAGGAACTGGTCCACCAAAGGGCCTGACACAAAAAGAATAGCTGCTTGAAAAGGGGCGGACTGGTAGAGTAGCTGCGTAGAAGATACATTGAGCCTTTTCTGAATTGTGTTTGTTAGCTGAATTGGAAGCTTAGTTAGGGATCAACCTGTTGTACAACCAACTAAGCCAAAGTACCTACCCAAAAGAGACTTGAAAACAGAAGGTAGTTGGAAAATAAATTAAGTGTAAGATTAATAAAATAAAATAAGCAAGGATACAATTTGGCCAACACAGGTTGTTATGATGGCTAGAAGAGAGAGAATGGTCCCAACAAAATTGAGCTGGAGGTCTGTCACAGAAGCAATCCCAACTCCAACAAGTAATAGGAAGAGAGAAAACTTTATCTTCTGGCTGCAAGAAGTAGAGGACCAAAAAAAGAAAAAAAAAAGAAAAGGATCACTGAATTTATTGACCAATATTAATTTTTAAAATATTGTGCAATTTACAGTTGAAGAAGCATTACCTAAATTGCTTTTTAAGGAAAAGAGTTTCCAATAACACAGTGAATGGTATAATTGCAAGCTTGGTCATCTGCCAAAAAAAGAAAGAATCCAAAATGTTATACAATTGCGTAGAACATATGACACGATGTGAGACGTTACATGTACTATATTTACTGGCCCAGTATTAGAAAAGTGGAAAGAGTTTTTACGTGAAAGTTGTCTCATTTTCCAAATGAACAAATAATAAATTGAGACAAATAATTACCTGGTAGAACCCAATGGAATTGAATCCCAGGCTCAAGTTGAGTAAACCAATTGAAATACCATTTAGAATGCCAAAGAGCATGACAGTCTTCATGTCAATCGACTTGCTCTCGAAAAAATTGAGACGTTGTGCCGCATGAAGAGTGCAAAAAGTTACCATCAGATGCCAACTGGTAAGTGTTGTTGCTACCAAAAAAAGAAAAAAAAATGATATAGACTTGTGTATAAATATTCCAGTAAAAGTTATAAAAATTAATCTTAGGAATTTTCCAAATTAATTTCTTACCAAATGGGAAGCCAAGATTGCTCATCAAAGCTTTGTTGCATATAACAATGGAGACAGATGATGCAACTGATAGAAACAGTGCACCAATAACTCCCAATTGGAAGCCAGTCATTTCTCCCATGATGATCTTCAGTGATATATTTTCTATCAAAAAGAAAAAAAAGAAGATTAATATAATATATTTTGTCCAAGCCATGCCAAATGCTACTTCCAAATAAAATTTAGATAACTAGTGATAAAAAAATTTAAAAGTAATAATAAGACTTGTCATATATAATATATATAACATAACGTTGCCAGCTTACATGTTGTAAGTTTTTGTCCTACTAATAACCCTTGAATCTCCATTCTGAATGGCTTAGAAGTGTCTGAGCTCTAGGCATTTGATCAAGGTTCAATGTGCGGCGTTTCTTAATTTTTGCTTATGACTCATATCTTTTTTTGTACATACAAAATACAAAATCGTTTTTTTTCTCTATCATTCCTAACCCTCCACCCTCTCCACCCCATGCAAGTCATGAAGCAACATGTAGAACTAATGTTATCATACGAAAAATATACGATCGTATGCACGTACGAGTTTCTCCATTTGACTGTTATATATACATACTCTACAATTAAAATCGATAAAAATATTAAAATTAAAGAAAAAAGAGATATATGGGAAGCGTACCTTTTCAATGAAATGGAAAAACCCAGTTGGGAGTTTAGCAGCCCTGAAACCTCACCAAGAAATGATCAACTTCTTGATGATCAAAATGTGCTACAACTCCATGCAATCGCCACCAGCTCCAACCGGCAAGTTTGAAGCAAATTGTGGCTTCAAAACTGATCGGAGTTGGAAATATATGAGAGAACAAAAGATGGACCAAGTTTTGAGTTCTGAAAACTCAGGGAGGAAGAGAGCTAAGATAAAGAGAATAGTGTGGTGGTTATGATTGGCTTGGCTTGTATGAGAATGTAAGGCTTTTGCGCCCCTTTTATTTTAGGTTGTTTTTGTGGTTGGTGCCAAACGGCGTTAATTTTTAGAGATTGTTTCGTTTGGATCTTTTTTTATTTGTCACGACGTGGCTCCCTTCCTGATTTTCCAGAAGCAAGTTAACGGCAACTACAAGCAAACTTGGCAACAAGACAGTTAAATTCAAGTGACCATTAAGATGGTACGCTACAACCTCATATCAATTTAAATTACCAAAAACACCCCTTCCCACTTCTTCTTTTTTCCCTAAATTTTGTTCACCATTTGTTTAATTTATTTATTATTTATATACTTTTTCACATATACCATGATGATGAGTTTTAGCTCAAGTCACATGAATTGGAGCCACTGCATTCTTGGTTAGTTATAAGTGATTTTGTACAATTATAATATCTTTTCATTAACGCGATGGTAAAATTTGAACTCGGAACTTCTTTCAATATTGGTTTACGAAATATCACTAAATTAAATAGCAAGTTGGTGGGCAAAATATAGTTAGAATAAAAATCCACCTTTGCTCTTTAATTGAGTTGTGAAGTGTTGGCATGATGTAAATTCACAATCTACCATGGTCTATTCTTCTTTGACATTTTTGGGTCAACAATTGATGCTGCACCACCTTAGTCAGTCAGTGATCCTTATATTTGGTGTGAGGAAAGGGTGTTTTAGTCCAATTTGATATTCTTGCATAAACTTGTTTGCACACCGTAACTATCATTTTAATATGAAATAAGTCTTGGTACACAAGCCAGGAAGGTGAGGTGAAACGTTTCTTTTATGAGGGTGGGGTTTCTGCAAATGCAAGCAAATGGTTTGGCGCCCTCAACCTCAATTAGTGTTTGGTGAAAGAAGAAAACTTTAGTCTCACTCCAAATTTTAAAAATAAAAAATAAAAAAATTGGCCCATTGTTTTGTCGCCTTTTTATAGCACCCACCAGGCATAATGGAACAAACCCTCACCCCACCCTTGTAATCTTAAACTTCATCCATTTTTGGAAACGTGAAAGCCATAACATTTTATATGTGTTTATGCATAGAACAAACGTCGATCTTTTGAATTCTAAGCCAGTCTTGTAGGATCAGATATGCTTGCTAGATTACTTATGCTATTCAGGTAAAGATGATCGAGATAGGTACGAATTAAAACGGCAATCATTCATTTGATTGAGTAGCAACTTCGTTGGAGGTCCTAAATTTAAATATCATGACCGATAATTGTTAATTATTATAATAAAGTGTAGGAATTAGAACTTTCTACAAACTTTTATTTAACAGTACCTTTGAAAATGTTGTATTGGGGTTCTTTTCTCATTCATTATGCTCTAAAATCGAACAAAAGTAAGATATGAATGAAAAGAACCTCGAATCTATCTTAGAACAGACTGGCCAAAAAAAAAAAGTTGGTGGATACTACTAAATTAATCAAATGATGTGGTACGGTTTTCATTATTCAAATTTAGGGTTCTAAGATATCAATATATGGAAGCTAATAACACAAGTACTCCTAGTTCATCTACATGATAATAATGATGAAAAGGCCTTCAAGAATCATCACATCAGTACTCCTAATTTTATAAGTTTGGATTTTCTTTTAACTTGCACCATAAAAAGTTCTTGGTAGCTAGTTATAATCAATTTTGGTTAATGGTGTTCCAAACACAGAGCTTAAACATTCTGATCTCCATACTAGCTAGTGCCAAATATCTACAGTATTACTATTATGAAAACCCAAGACAAAGTATTATTATTCTTTTTCCCATGAGCATCTCCAGCAGACTCTCTATCCTCTTATCCCTAGCTACTTTAGCTAAAAAGAAGGAAAATCATCCTTCCAGCAGACTCCCTACTTGGTTCTCTATGTTGGAGAACCAACTTTTGGCTCTCTACATCTAGCAAGGAGGAGAGAGAATTTGGCTAAAAGAGAGAAAAGGGGGAGAGAGATAGATACATTTGGGTGGTTGGTGGGGTTGGGTTTCTACTTTTCTTTTTAATATATTAGATTTGCAAGAGAAAGAGAGAGAAAAAGAAAGAGAAAATAATAATAAAATATTTCAAATTAGCCAACATTGTTGGAGGAAACATTTTTTAAGTGGTTTGCTATAGTAGTTTTCTAACTATTTTTGTTTAGGCTAAAATCTTGCACACCCAGCCCAACACTGAAGAGCCCAGAATGATAAAACAAGCCACAGGACCCGAGCAGTCTGACCTTTGCTATTAAACAAAAATCAAGGGCCTAATATCCAAGAAAGCCCAGCCCAGGATCTGTCAAAACACGACAAAATGTGGGCTTCAAAAAAAGAAGAAAAAGAAGGAAATTGGCCCATAAACTCCAAAAAACTCAAACTGGGCTTGGCATGATTTACAGAAAAGAAAAAGCCCAAAATTAGAAGCAAATCCACGTGGCCACCTGAAACTTTGAAAAGTCAGCAATCTTAACTGAGTCGATGGGAGTTAATGGAAACATGACTTGAAACAGGCAAATCTCCAGCCTTTTTTTCAAAAGAATATCAAAATCCCTTTCTATATGTAGAAAAATTCTGCTCCAAAGCATGTATCATTTCCAATGGATAAGCAGGCTATGTTTTCTAAAAAGATAAGTGGGAAGCAGAGAGTTGTTCATCTGGAAGATCAAAACTAACCATCACGGCAGTTTTTGAACTCTTACAAGAGCAGTTGGAATTAAAGAAGGGTTAGGTTTTCTTTCAAGAAAAACAGGGAAGTGATTGCCTTAGGAACTAACTATTGAAAGCTTATCTACCAGAATTGATAAAACCTCCTTTTTCTTTGCATATTAAAAGAAAGATATTTTGAGAATTTTTGCCGCCCATTATTAAAGGATTAGAAACCCCACTCCAAAAACATTTCTTATAAATATAAGAGAATGTGAGCAGAGCAGAGGACAATAAAAAAAAAAAACCAAAAAACCAATCAAAGACAAAAACTCAAAATAATCACTTAATCTCAAAAACCTTCAAACAAACTGAAGCAACCTAAAGCTTATTGAGCCACAAGAAAGAAGCTAGCTACGAATCATAAGTTTCAAGACTTAGAGAAAAGTCATTCAAAACGAGATTTCTCTCGTTACAAATTTGGTTCAGCAAAAGCCAAAACAAGCAGATTCTTGGTTTTTACAAATATGAAAACCTCAACAAATTTATGAAGAGCCCTAACTAAGCAGAACATGTACCATAGTGCAGTTCTAGCTCAATAATCCTCAAGTCCAGCCACTTCTGCCCCTTTCAGACTGAAAAGACCATAATTTTGCCCGTTTAAAAAGCCTTCCAGGGCTTCAAATAGATTAAAGCTCTGCCAAACTCGAATGTTGGTATCGATTTACAGTTGAAGCTTAGCAGTTGAAGTTTAGCAGTTGAAGTTGTTGACAGTCCATTCCAGCATAGGCATACCCAGTCCAGCCAGGATCAGAAGCATCTATCCATGCATAAATGGAAGTTCAACCTTCTTTTTGTCTTTCTAGAGTTGGTTTTTCCCTTTTGAGTTTTGTAAAAGGCAGTTCCGCATGAAAACAGTTCATTTTCTTACTATTTATTCTGGACAGAACTACCAACCTTGTACTGTGAAAAATTATGAAGTCCTCACCAGTCTGAGGCAAGAAAAGAACTTACTTAGGAGATATTCCTCACCCAAATTCACATTCGCTTGTTTAGAAATCAATAACTTGGGGCGCAAGTTATCTATTCCGGAGTCTGCTAGGATTTTTCATTGCTAGCAGTGGCACGCTCGCATACTAAAGAAAGTTGACTTGTTGACTAGTCAATGGTTTTCAAGGCAATAAAGAACTTTACCCTGCCATCACAAGAACAAACATCAAATGGGTGAACAATTTTAGCTAGAATTTAGCTAAATTTTGGAGACTCTGGAGATGCTCTATCTAACACTTATACTCATAGTTATTGTTTTGATTTTGTGATTTTGGCGGCTGAGAAGGAATAAGAGGCCATCTTCATGGAACAAGAGAAAGAGTTGAGGCTTGTGTTGATAGAGCACTAGAAGCAGCAGCTAACAATAATCAAAGAGTTTAACAACACATGTATCTATTCAATTATAAGAGAACATTCTTTTTGCTTTTTTATCTGGTTAACAAATATTCTTTTTGCTCTCTCTACTCACACACGATTCAAAGATATGCAAGAGAAAATGGGCATTGTATAAAAATAAAATATAAAAAAGGGCATGGTTATCTGATCATATCTAGGGGCGGGCATCGGGACTGGAACATCTGAAAACTAAACCGAATCAATTGAAAAAAATTAGAAGAAAAAAAAATTGATTGACCAAAAAAGTCAACAAATCGGACCTGAACTAGATCGAACCGGTTCCAACCAATTTTGGTTTCAGTTTCACACCGCACCAATTTGGACCAGACAGGTTGTATTTTTATTTTTACAAAATTTTTAAAATTTAATGCTATATTTTTAATTTTATAATTAATATTTTTCCAAGTTCAACTTCAAAAAATTTCTCATTGTATGAATTGGATCATTTGATAATTTTCAACCCAAAAAATAACTTATTTATTATAATTTTTATTTTCTAAAAATAATAAATTAATAATTCGGTTCAAAATCGAAACTGGTCAGGACTGGACCAATTTAGGGCAAAACCAAACCGGTCGATTTTTAAATTTTTTTTGCCTGAACTAGACCGGTTACATAGTATTAGTTTTTAGTTCCAATTTGAGGTGAAAATCGAACTGAACCGAACCGTACCCACCCCTAATCATATCTTCAATCCACAATAACAAATGCAGTGCAAAGTCTTAACCCATAAAAATAAAAAAAAATAAAAAAATTAATGCACTGCAAAGTCATTCCTAACTTATGTTCTCAAAGAGGGGACTGGCCTAGAGAAGATCAAATACCAGTGGCTTTTTTGAAAAATTGATATTGTTTTATCTGTTTTTTAATATTTTATAATTTGCTAAAAATTGTCCACTATAACAACTTATTTGTTGTGTCAATGGACTCTAGCCTAGTAGAAATGACCATGAATTACAGACTAGATCTCAAGATTGAACCCAACCTTTAAGACACTATGAGAGTACGGGTGAGAAAACCCCCTTCCCCAATACCATGTATATAAAATAAAAAAATTATTGTTCTTTGTGCCTATAATGATATGCAATTACAAGACTAATCTATTACCACTGATTATTTATCATTCAGCAGTAATTCCCATAGTAGAATGTTTCTATACACATAATAAACGACACAAATTTATACACATAATAAATACACTCAACCCATTTATTCTCCTAAAAAAGAAAAAAAAAACTCAACGTACTTATTAATTAGCAACTCACACTCGCTCCTAATTAATAATAAACTACACAAAAACAAACCACGAACCTTTTTTTGTCTTTTTCCAAATCCAGTTTTCGTTTTAGTTATTAAATTCTGACACATCCAAACTATTTACAGAGCAAAGCAAAAAACCGAACACGGCATCGTTCGTTCGACTACCTATTAGGCTCCAAATCCCGACCCGACCCGAACCGATATGCGAATCTCAAGAGTCAAGAGCCACCACTGGAACAGAGGGTGTGGTGCGGACAAACATTGATACTCCCAACGGCTAATTTTACTTTTCCTTAATTTGTGGCAAAGTAGTTTCGAAATCCTCCAATCCGAGAATTGTAATTAATGCATTTGGGATCTGATTCAACAATCAGTTGACTCACTCTGACTATAAATATAAGGTCTCTCTCTTCTAAGTTTCTCCACATCTGATAAGGAAACAACTCCACATTTCAAATTGAAACCCTAGTTCAGCTTAGCTTTCCTAATCTCTATATTCTCATCCATCTCGTAGAACCTAGGGTTCTATATTGTTGTTGATAATAAGGATATGGCCGACTCCGATGATCGTGTCGGCTTCCGCTTCCGCCCCACAGACCAAGAACTCATCACTCTCTTTCTCTACAAGATGGTTGTAGAGAAAAAGGCTCTAATGGCAACGTATGACACCATTATCCGGAAGTTCAACATTTTCGGCACCGAGTTCGAACCCTCCGAGATTTGGAACGGCTTTGGAGGAGAGCAACTCCATCCCCATGATCAAGAATTGTATTTCTTCTCCGAACTCAACACGTTATCCTCCAAAGCGGGTTCCCGAAAAATCAACCGCAAGGTTGGGCTCGGAGGAGGGACTTGGAGTGGCGAACGTTGTGATGCTGTTTATGATGAAGAGGGGAATGAAATCGGACATAAACGAAAATTCCGCTACGAGAATGAAGGGTCCGAGGAACACAGTGGGTGGTTTTTAGAGGAATATAGTCTTTCTGGTGAGGGTTGCGCTTTCGATTATGTGATTTGTCGGCTGAGAAAGAATGAGAGGTTGTTCGGAAACAAGAGAAAGTGTTCCTCATCATTATCAGAACATCAATATCCAAAGAAGAAGATGCTCACCAAGCCCAAGCCCAGTCTTACAACAACAAAAGGCAAAAAAGTGAAAAAAGATGAGCAAGAAATGGGATCACAAGAAAATATGAATCTGGAACCACAAAACTACCGCTCTCCTACTACTCTTGTGGTCTCTGATGATGAGAAAGGTAATAACCAGTTGACTTATAATAATCATGATGATCAGTTCATAAACAGTAATTACTTCCCTGATGATAATACCATGATGATCAATGATATTATTACTCTTGATGATATTAACACTCTTGATGATACTAAGATGATTTTCAGTGAGATGGAATGGCCACTGCCAGATCTGCCACAGATTGCTGATCAAAACCATGTGCCCTTGCCAGCTTCTTCGGTCGGTGCCGACTCTGTTGATGGCGTAATAGAAGCTTGTGAGCCAAGTAATTTGGTGAATGATAATCAGATGGGCAACAATAATTCTGATGAACATCAGGATCAGTTGCTAAACAACACTGATTACTGTCCTCATGACACTCTGATATTCTTGGGTGATAGTGATGAAGAAGGATACTTGATCAATTCTCCGACCATTGACGACGACATGGACGAATTATTTCCAGACCTAGCCGGGGAATGGCCATTGCCACAAATGCCACAGATTGCTGCTACAGATGAAAGCCAAGTGCCATTTCCAACTTCTGAGGTCGGTGCTGAATCAACTAATGGAGAAGAAATGGAAGCTTATTGTAATCCAAGTCATTTCCAGAATATGGGGAATTACCAACCTCTGGAAGAAGACATCAACTGCTTCTCCAACTATTCGTTTGTGGATGAGTTAATGGGCCATTGATCATCGACTCAATTATCATAAATATTAGAGGAGATGTGACTCAATATTAATTTGTATCAAGGAGATGAACATTGAATATTTGTACCAAAATTTTGACACTATGTAATTTCGTTTCTTGATGAATATATGTAATTTTTCTTTAACTGTTTACTTCTTTTAGTTAATTTCTGCATGCAAATTCATTAGCACCAAGCATCCCAAATCATTTCCCATGCACAACCCCAATGCTCAGATGGAAGTGTAAAATGTTAGAATCATTCTGACTAAACTTTGAGGCCAGAACTAAGAAAAAGAACAAATGCTGTGTATGTAAACAAACCTTCCTTCAAGCTAACGCTGTTTATGTAATCTTGCAGAACTTGTAAGTGTACCCATACTAACAAGCATACCGACCAAACAAACAACTAGTAAACACTTCAACAGAATAAAGCTCATATGCACAAAATTGACCATTATCTATATATCCTGTAAGTTTTGCAAGAAGCACACCACAACTCGAATCAAATAAGCAAATGAAGAAACAGTGAATACCATACTGCATAAACAGGCACATTGTCAAGATAAGCACTAGATTTCGGGCAAGATACATCCACATTGTTTGTGTGCAGGCAACCTCACACAAACATAGACAAATTCTAACAACAGCTGGACGGGTGAAACATGGAATAATTGTACCCAAATTTTGACACTTTGTAATCTCCTTTCTTAATTAGTATACGTAATTTAATTTTAATTTTTTTATTTCTTTGAATTAACTTCTGCATGTAAACTTTTAGGAATTGGACTCTACTTCAACTCACCCCCTTCGTGGCTGCAAGATGATATGATTACTTTCACCCCATGCTATGATGTTTCAAGGTAGAGAAATCTTTACTAATATTCAGCCCCCAGTCACACCTATATCTATCCCTACATAAGATAAAAATTTACCGGATATCGACATTTTCACGTTTCATATAATATTCTAAACTAAATATCAACCTTTACTACTGCCTAGTGCAGGTCTGAAAGTAAGCAATTGAAACATAAACAATCATATAAGGCAAATAACAGAACACCAAAAACCTAGAAAGAAAATACGAGAAGAGGAACAAACAATAAGATGGAAAAACTACAAAATTCTACAGATCATCTGGGAGCAAAATCTAATCCCCATTCATGTACCAAATCATTCTACAAGCATTCAATAAAGCATTTCATTCACGTTTCATATAATATTCTAAAACTAAGGCAAGAAGTACCCCTTGCTTAAGTTTTACTTCACAGGATAGGGTACAATTTGCATATAATGGGTGCAACAGATAACAATAATGACTCACCTGGCTCCCAACAGAAGGAATTGCTTGATGAACAATCAACTGTGAATCAACCACGCCAATTTTTCATGTGTGGGCTGGTGAGAGAAAAATAAAAAGACAGACAAAACAAGATTCTTAGAGCATCTAGCAGTTGCAACACTTCGGTCAATAGTACAGGCTAGTATGCCTAATTTACCATTCTAGAGGATTGCATCCCAAAAATTAGACAGGGCAACATTTTTTATAATCCACACATTGAACTACTCTGTCTCATAAACATGTCAAATAAAATGTTCATATATGACAGGCATTCCTATAGAGAGCAAAGCTCATAAACGATCTATCCAACAAATAATTTAGACATGATTCTGTTGCTTAATATTTAGACAGGAACTGAGTTGGCACTTATATTCAAATTCCTTCCTGTTGATGCTTACAGTCCAAGCAAGTCCAACTTAATCTCGATACTTGATACTTCATTTCTTTCAATTCAAGGAAATCCTCTGCAGACATTAAATGAAACTTAAGCTTTTAACTTTTATTCATAAGTAAAAAGAGTATCACTAAACAACGTCTTTACTATTGTACTAGCAAGCATCTTCTAGTGCAGGTCTGAAAGTGAGCAATTGAAACAAAAACAACCATTCAAGGCAAATATCATAGCAGCAAAAATCCTAGAAAAGAAAATACGAAGAAGAGGAACAAACAACAAAATGAAAAAACTGCTAACCATAGATCTTCTGAGAGAAAAATCCAATCCCCATCCATGCACTAAATCATTCTACAAGCATACAACAAAGCATTTCATTATCAATTGCAAGGAAGTTAAAGAAGAAAAAAAATCCTATAGAGGAGAAGATTGTGTGATTCAGAAAGATCTTGTTTGTAAGTGATTATGTATGAATTCTAACGATAGACCATACCTGAATCATATTCCCTGCAAAGCCAAGTTTCCCGAGAAAGGACAAGGGTCATCATTTGCATAAATCTGGACAATACTCAGATGGAAGTTTTAACTGTTAGAATCATTATGACTACAATTTGAGACCAAAAACTAAGAGAAAGAACAAATATCATCTCCTTCCAGCTATTGAATCTTCCTTCAAGCTAAAGTTGCTTTCTAATCTTGCAAAACTTTCAAGTACGTTTACCGTCCAAACTTAGTAAACTTCTCAAACTTTTCAACAGAATAAGCCACATATTTACAAAGTTGACCATTTTCATAAAATTTTAGCAGGAAGCGCCCAAAGAATAGAACAATTAAAGTAAAGAAACAAACAATCAATAGCATTGTGCATAAATGGGCACATTGTCCAGAGTGCACCGGACAAGATATACACACATTGTTTTAGAGCAGGCGAATTCAGACATACTATATGCTTGCACACACCCAGCATGGATGTGAACACAAGTGCATGCTTAGAAAGGTACATGAGAGAGAGAGAGAGCATACGCGGCACGAGGAGTCAGATGTGGGTCATTGCACCAGCCTGGTATTTGTTCTGTATCCTTGTTTATCATTCCAGGCACATAAGGAAATGCTGAAATTAATTTCCAACATACGACACATTTGTCTTTTAAGAAGCTGAAGTTCCCCATCCCCCAGCTTTTCTGGCTGCATTTTTGTTCCATATGGTATTTCTTGAATCCTCTCAGGCAGGAAAAGAACGACGTCATTACGCGTTTCTAGTTTTTCGTTTGACAGTCCTGTAACCTGCTATTGTGTGGCATTGAAACTATAAGCACAGCTTAGTGTTATAAGTGTGGAGTTTGTCAACTTTGGACAGCATGCAAAAAAAATTGAATCTACGCAATGTCTTAAGACATAATAGAGTTGATAGAAATCAACAAATCTAGGTTTGAAGATATAAGTCTAGGTATGTACATTTAGTATCTTGCCCCTGACAGCCATTTCAGCTCTTGATATAAATTAGTGATCGAAAAGTATGACTCAAGTATCTATAAATTAGTGATCAACAATTGACCCAAGTATGACTCAATTTCCGTTATCGGAGCAAAATTCACATCAGCTACCAACAGTGCAGTGGAAACATCATAAGGTGGCAAGTAAAGTTTTGAAGCAGGGTAACATGTTAAAAGGTTGTTTGAGGGTCAAATATGAGCATTAAAAATGAAATGGTATATAGTAGAAGGAATTAACAAAAAGCAGATGACATGAAGCCCTTCTCAGAAATTTGTATTTTTTCTCAGAATGCAGAGATTGTAAATTTTGAGAAAAGTAAATGACCTCCAATATCAAGCCGGAGAATCAACACAGGCCAGGTCATTAGGGTTAGAGAAACTGATGCTATTCCACCAACAAAGAAATCACCAAATTTGGGTTCCTTTATCTGCAAGGATTTTCAGAGTCCCAATTCTTATGCCAGTCGTTTTAGAATCAAATTGTCTCCAATTAGCTTCCTCCGTGTCCTATCTTGGAAAAAATAAAATAAAATCCCCAACCTCAACTTCCTAGTCTTGTTCCTGCCGGATTTTGCTACAGTAAGCCTATTTCATTGATGAAGATTGTTTTGTTCCATTACAAGAAGCACTCTTGTTTCAGAATCATTGTTATAAGAATATAGCATCAATTTGGAGATATTATCACACTTAATCTCTACACAAAATCTCATCACTGGCAGAATTGAATGTGACTAACCAAATCATATCTAATCAAGCATCTTTCATAAAATTTCAATTTAAACACAACAATTGAAAAAACAAAAATGAAATTCAAAATTTAAAAACATAGATTTGAGTTCACCTTTTTTCTGAGCCAATTTGGGCAGCTTAGGAGCTTCCTCCACAAATCGAGCCTTAATCTCCACATTCGTTGCAACTCTATAGCCCAACTACTCTCCGTCAAAGCCTTCTCGACTTTCTGCATATTTCATCACATTATACTCAACCTTCGTTTTCCCTGTCTTTCTTTGTAACATTTTCTCCGCAACCAAACACAATTAACAAACGAAACGACTGAGGAAAGGGAAACTAGGAACCTGAAGAGCCGCTTCGATTTCGTCGTCGACACCGCGAGCTTAAAGACGAGCACAATGCTTCGTCGCCGTAGGGGTTTAGATCGATCGCGCTCATTTTTGGTTTCTCTCAGAATGAGAAAAGAAGATCCCTGCGTCAGAGTTCGAGAGAGAGAGTCACATCTCGTTCACGCATATGCGTCTCTTTGTCTTCCTTCGAGTTTTTCATTTTTGGACAAGGAAGGGAGGGCACGAGACAGCATGGACTTCATTCAATGTCGTTTTGGCGGGTACACAACCAATTGGCTGCCCGGTTAGATTTTTATTTTTATTTTTATTTTAGTACAAGAAATTTGGGAATGGTGATTTTACACAAATATTCATTAGGTGGGTTTCGAAACTCTGTCTACGTGAGTAGAGTTAGAAGAGCTCAATCAACTTAACTATAAGATACTGAGAGGTCGTTTGATACGGGGACTGTCATAAATTGGATTAAGTATTGGTACTGTCTTGGATTGACTTGACCTGGCATAAGCTGAATAACATTTGTACCATGTTTGGTGTATGTTTGATTGGACTAGGACTATTTTTTTTTCTTCTGAAAAGTTAGATTTTTTTAAATTTTTTTGACTTTTCTTCTCTCTCCATCTCTTTCTTCTTCTTCCCCTCTGCATCTCTTTTATCTTCTTCTTCTCCATTTTCTCTCCTCTACTTTTGTCTACTTTTCTTTTCTTTTCAAAAAATTTCTCCCATCTTCTCTGTTTTATTCTAAAATTTTCTCTCCTCTTCTTCTCCATTTTCTTTCCTCTTCTCCTCCATTTTCTTTCTTCTTCTCTATTTTTTTCGAAAAATTTCTCTCATCTCTTCTTCTCTATTTTTTTCGAAAAATTTCTCTCATCTCTTCTTCTCCATTTTCTCTCCTCTTCTCTGTTTTGTTTTTAGAAAATTTTATGTTCTCTCCTCTTCCTCTTCTATTCTGTCGTCTCCTTCTTGGGTGGCTGTGGCTGGTGGCTGGTGGCTGTGGCTGGTGGTCGTCGCTGGTGGTCGTGGTGGGTGGTTGTATCTGGTGGTTGGGGATGGTGGTTGTGGCTGCTGCGTGGTCCTTCGTTGGTTGTGGGCGATTGGGTGTGGTCGCTAGTTGCTTGGGTCGTCGGGACTGTTAGTCCCTCCTCTCCAGACGGGTTTAGCTAAGAACACTTGAGGAGGTGTTTTTGGTGGGCCCAGTATTAGTTAATTCCATTTGAAATTAGAACAGAGTGAAACAAACATGGGATAAAACTTTAGCCAGTCCAGTCCAAGCCAATCTCTTGTACCAAACGAGCCCACTCTTTTCTTCTTCTTTTGTTGGTCTTAACTAGGCTTGTCATTAGTTCGATTTGAGTTTGTACAACTTACTAAACCCAAAAATAAAAAATTCGCTAATTTATAGTGTTAATATTTTTTCAGTTTAGTCATTTATATTAACTTCATTTTTTTAATATATTTTTATTTTGATTTGATTATTTTCGGATTGTTTAGCATCAGTTTCTATAGAATTTTATGAATATGTATTCTATGAACTTTTTTTGTAGGCGCATTTTTAGCACTCTTAAAACATTACTACAAACGGGGTCTAACTAGGAGAAAAGGTATTGACTTGTAGATCAATGGTCTCATGTTCGAACCCACATAATACCCTTGTAGTGTGTGTGAGAAACTTCTTGTAGTTTAGACTATCACTTGTATTAAAAATAAAATAATTAAATAAAACCATTACAAGACTACTTTGGTGCAACTGCCAAAAAATTTGAATTTAACTACTACAAAAAAGATGTTGAGGAGAATGGAAACCCTAATTCCTATCAGGAGAAAAAGAAAATTCGATAAACCATAGGAGTACATGTAAAGTGTCTTTAATTGTTTGTTCTTCCTAGTTAGTGTCTGGACGCAAGTTCATCAATGTACTGACTCTTTCGTACCGATGAATAAACTCAAAATCGATTTTGATTCAAACAGAGGACTTTGAGAGACCTGAGAAGCAAAAGCAACCAGCGATATTGAAAATGTTGGCATTGATCGATGTGCTGTATTGTATATAAATAGCTTACTTCCAAAATCAATACAAAATTGGCCTTTGCAGACCACAATTCCCTCTATGAAACGCACAAGGTAAGATACTCAACAAACTCTATCTCAGGCAGGGTAAATTTCTCTCCTCTTACAAAACTAACAACGTGTAAGATACATAGAATTCGGCTTAGCAAAGGGAGAAAATATTACAGTCGGAATTGCACTCTTCTTCGACACACCCCACCCCCTTTCTCGCCAAGTGAAAACATGTACAAAATGAGAAAAGGGGTGGGTGTGGGTTGCGGTGGAGGCTTTTGTTTAAGGGGATAAAGTTGTATTTACCCCCTTCCTCTCTGAGAAAGGTATGCCTGGTCTGCGCCAAGGAGGCGAGCCTGGAATTCAGCCCACTCATTTTTGCACCGTGTTCTTACCTGCATGAGGAACACCAGGAAAGAAAGTAAAACGGTCAAATGGAAATAGTTTTCCCCAACAATTACGAATGCAAATTTTTTAACTCAGAAGTATGAAAAGGTTAAACTAGTAAACCAGTAAATGCATTGAAAAAAGTGGATGAAATCATGGGTTATAAGTCTACCATAACGATAAAGACATACATTTCAATAATCCAGAACATAGCTAAGAAGAAGTGTAGAATGTATGATAAGAACTTAATATACCATGTCACGTACCCCTTCCCATGGAGCTTTTCCATCCTCAGGATCTCCCTGAAAATTGATGATGATTTAAGAATGATCAAGATTAACAGGTTTTCATTAGGGAAATAAGACAAAGTGTTAAACATAAGAAAAGTAGCTACAAGATGATATGAGCACCCCATGCAAGGTAGAGACATCCATTGGCTTTTTACCAACTTAGAAGTAGAAAACTAGTTGATAACGACCTCACGCCAAACAAATTGATAACACCATCACATAAAAAGCATGGTCCTGTTCTGCCCAATAAAATAAAATAAAATAAAAGCAGGGTCTTGGTCCTTACTAATATGCTGCGCCATTCCACCTATATCTATCCCTACATAAAATTAAAAATTACCAGATATCTATCTTTTCACATAATTTTTTAAACCTAACCAAAGCAAGACGTACCACTTTCTTAAGTTTTACTATACCCTGCCTATTCTATGTATGATTTCTTTTTGTCATTGTCTACATACGATATGCTCATAAATGTGTGTATGCATACATGGGCTATCTCTCTAGAACAGATACCAATGATCACTCACCTGGCTCCCAAGAGAAGGAATTAATTGGTGAACAATCCACTGTGAATCAACTACGCCAATCTTTTCATGTGCAGGCTGGTGAGACCAAAAAAACAAAAAAAAAAAAAAGGAAAACAAAAGTCTGCAGGTTTTCTCAGAGTAGAAAGGCATAGCTCATCTAGCAATTGTAAACAAAAGTCTTAAGGTTTTCTCAGAGTAGAAAGGCATAGCTCATCTAGCAATTGCAACGCTTCAATTAATAGTACAAGCTAACACATGCCTACTTTACTACTCCAGATGAATTGCATTCCAAAAATAGATAAGGCACTCACATTGACAGCGTAGCTCATAAATAATCTATCAAAGAAATAGGTAAGGCATAATTTTGTTTAATATTTCATGCTTGTATATTAAGCATTGAACTATTTATCATTTGGAATGGAATTGGGTTGGCATTTATTTACAAGTTCCTTGGTGTTGGCACATGCCCAACAACAAATCAACAATCATTGCCTGCATTGATTCAATACATTGTTTCTTTTGTTTCAAGGAAACCCTCTGCAGACACTATACGAAAATTAAGCTTTGAACTTTCAGACAAAAGAAACAATAGTATCATGAAGTGAACTTTCAGACAACAGTTAGAATAGTATCTCTAAACAAAGTTGTAAAAATATGTTTTTGTATTAAAAAGTATTTTGCAGGTAATGAAATGGAGGGTGGCAGTAACCAATCAACAAAGACATGAAATGAAACTGTGTATTTCACCAAGCCTTTAAAATTGATTAATTGAAACATAACCAACCATGTAAGGCCATCCTAAAAAATACGAAGAGGAACAATAAAATGCAAAGACTGTCTACCTCTACACATCTTCTGAGAGCAAAATCCAATCCCCATCCATGCACTAAATCATTCTACAAGCACAAACAAAACATTTTATTATCGATTAAAGGGAAGTTAACAAAGAAAAAGAACATAAAATCCCTTCAAAAGAGAAGATTGTGAAATTTGAAAAGATCTTGTTGTATGTCGTCATTATGTATGAATAACCCAGCCGGAAATTAACAATAAACCATACCTGAATCAAATGCCATGCACACCGCCAAGCTTCCCGAGAAAAAACCGGGGCCATTATTTCCACAAATCTGAACGATGTTCAGATGGAAATGTTAACTGTTAGACTTAGAATCATTCTGACTAAATTTTGAGACCAGAACTATAAAATAAAATAAAGTTGTTTATTTAATCATGCAAAATATTTAAGTATAACCTTATTAACAAAGCTTAACCTCCAAACAACTTAATAAACACTTCAACTGAATAAAGCTCATATTTACAAAATTGATAATCTCCTAATTTTTTGCTTGAAGCACCCAAAAATTTGAATAAAATGTATAAACAGTAAATAGCGTAGTGTATAAATGGGCACATTGTCAAGATAAGCACTAGAGTACCAGGCAAGGCATTATTTTAGAGCACGCGAGCTCACACAAACATGGATACATGCATGAACACAACAAACATGTTCACACACGTGGCTGCTCATGGTACATGAGAGAGAGAGAGAGAGAGAGAGAGAGAGAGCATACGCAGCACATGGAGGGAGATGTGGGTCACTACACCAGCCTGGTTTTTCTTCTGTATCCCTGTTTATCAACCCAGACATAAAGAAATGCTGAAATTAATTTTCAAAACATGGCGCATTTTATAGCTGCATGATGATTTGAGTCAGTGTATAAGGGGAAGGGGTGTTGAGTAAGAGAGGAGAGAGAGTACTTGTGAGCTTCTCTGTCACCTCTCCTCTTTGTCATCTCCCATGTCAGTCCATTATTGGGCTCAAGACCAGGTTGAGAGATCTCCAAACCATATTTCTTGACCAACTGAATATACCTGGTAAATCACACAGAGCATCAATTGGAGAATAAGGTAAAAGGGAATGAGTAAAAAACATGAATGGTAAAATCAAGACTAAAAACCATGATTGATGGGTGAACAAAAAAAAAACCATGTTTGATGAAAGAGAAACTTACTTCTCTCCATCGAAGTGCTCAAGTCCCAAATCTTCATCCCAAATGAAAATATATTCATAAGCTGCTACAATATCAGGATGCAAAAACCTTTTTGCATACCACCTGCAAACATTGAAAAGTATTTACATGACAAAAGGCTGCAAAAGCTCGATTCTGTAAAGAAATTAAAACTGACTGCAACTAGTTTAAAATGATTTCGGATTGGAAACAGTTACACAAATGAGAAATTTAAACCATGAAAAACACCATTAAAACTTACCATTTTGCTTGTCTCTTCACACTAACATGAATTGCCCTCTTTGACCACTCAAACTCATCCCATTCACTAGTCCGACCATCATAGTGAAAAAGCAAGATTGCGAAGTTCTCAGAGAACTACCAAAATGTGAGAATGAATGAACATCAGTACTCTTGAAATCAAATCAATAAATGAAAAAGAAAAAGAAAATAGGAATGGCACATTTTTTAAACCTTTTTTACTGCTGCATCAATATTTTTTTTCTGATTAATACCAACTGTAAATGATACCAAGTACTTAGGAATTGTTTTCAGATCCTGCAGAATTCAAAATCGTTATTACAAGCATTTTCACAGACAGATAAATAAGCAACATGCAAAATCAACAATGGTCCCCAAGCTGGAGAGTAAGTGTAAGACTACTACTAGTTGGAAAACGACTCCAAGGTTACACAGTGATATAGACGCATACAGACAATATATGCATCCGAAATTTGACTAATTCGCCCAACTAATCTTTCCTTCCAATACCATCTCCTGACTTCCTCCTTTCCACTCAAAAGCAAAACCCATGAATCCTAATTCATTCAGACATGTGGCTACTTCATAAAAATAAATAAAATTATTTTGAAAATTAAAATATGTGCAACACTGCTATTTTGAATATAACCATTAAATATCATACCGCACTGGGTTCACCCCATAATCTACGCAGATAAAGATCAGATTGTGGAACAATAATTCCAGGAGGTAGTGTTTCCGCACCACGAGGGTTTGTTGGAACATATATCTGTGAGAAAATTAACAAAATAGTATGAAGCATGATTACTTAATGCAATGGACATGAATTATGGCAGCATCACTAGCACCAGGAACAAAATTTTATAACAATAAAAATCAAGAACCCCAACTACACTAAATTCAGCAACATGCAACAATATCAATCGGAATAATTTCCACCAAGGACAAACCTCTAGGAAAGAGAGGGCTGTAATAGTTCCTTTTTGTGGTGTGATGACAATAAACATGATAGATGAACAAGGATCAACAAGTATGATTTTTCACTTAACTAATTTTTTAAGAAAGGATTTTCATAACCCAAAATCAGTCATCTAATAGTCAAATTCAATGCCTGTACTTATCTGAATTATAAAGTTCAACAAAGAAAATCAGACGAAATTTATTTGGTCAGACAACTAGTACACATATGAAAATGCGTTGATGAACATATGCTATATGCTATATAGGTCTAACAAGTTTGGGAACTATTTATTAGAGGAATTTTAGTTAACTAATGGCATAGTGTCCTTTGGTAGGATTATAAAAAGTATTGTGCAAAACAACACATTCGGTCACCAATATTAATATTGAGTTCCTACAATTATCACTATCTTCTACAACAAACAGTATGAAAAATCAACAATAAACACATATATTCAGAGTGAGCACAATAGGCACCTTAGGGACACCCTCTGATCCTTCATCTTCAAGACTTCTGTTTGAAGGAGGAGGATTAGGTCTACGTAATTCGGTGAAGGCTACATCAAGAGATGTTATAATGCTTGACGGAAACCTAATCTGTGGAGTTTAAAACAAATCAAATACATATGCACGTCCAATTCATTTTAGACACACGCTGATGAAGGCCAATATACCTTGGTTAGAGAAACTGCCGGTAATGATACGCCAATGAAAAATCCAAAGACAGCTCCCAATGTCGTAGTGAAAATTAGCCTGGCACTGTCATTTGATTTTTTACCAACCCCACTGAAAATTAAAATAAATAAATAAAGTTCAAAGAAAAAAACTGATGAGGAACAGAGTGTAAAAATAACAATCTTTAGGAAGCATCTGGCATTCTGCATCAGTTTATTAATACGCACCTACGATGTACATTGACCATATTGGTGTTGTCTCTGAGACTCAACTCAAAAGCTCACACTCCCAGAAAAAACTCGATTGGTTCAGCAACTTCTTCAGCCAATATTGCATTCTTCAATCTCACAATCTTTTATCAAACTAACAAGCCCCGAAATTGACTCCTAAATCAACACAAAACCACAAATCAATTTCACCATTCATCCCCTGCTCCTTCCTCATATCACATTCGCATTCTTCATCAACATAAGAAAAGATCAAAATTTCCAATGATCCCAACGTTCGATTAAGCAATAAAATTCAATTGCAGCATACGAAAGTATTGAAACCAACCGAAATGAACGAAAACGAACAAAAATGAAAATCACATTGTCTTCGTTCAACAAACAGAAAATTTGAAATCAAAATTCAAAGACATGAATGGCATTGCAGAGGTTCTAGGGTTTGAAACTTACGCGCGTCGCCGATCGTATCGGAGAGAGAAAGAGAGAATGTACTGCTACAGCCTACAAACACCTTCGCGGCTACACTTGGTATTTTTATGGTTTTGGTTACCCAAAAAGGTTTGCTCCAGTTTTGTATATGCTGATCAAATTGCCGCTTTGCTCTTGGTTCGAGCTTTGATAAACGTACCTGCTCTTCATTTCTCATCTTTTTTTAAATGCGCGCCACGTACGAGACTTAACATTGCATTTTAGGTGCACACGCCAAACTCTCATGACGCCCTTCATTTCTCTGTCGTATACTTGTTCTTTTGTGTCTATATGCAATTTTCCACACACAAAAATGATAAAAATACCTCAGATAGATAAAAAAATTGTAAAAATACCAAAATTTGGCAAAGACACTCAATCCTTGGTATGCCAAACGGCTGGCATTTATGTGTATTAACAATGTAACAACACTTGACATGTGACAATTCACTCAAATTATAGAACGTTATGATAATTAATATTAAATTTAAAAATATAAACTCTACACTCAACACGTGTGATAATTTAAAGAAATTCGTAAAAATAAGTTAATATGCCACATTGTGTTACTGCAAATCTTTAAATTTTCCTGCCAATATGGTTTCTTGTGTCATATTTGATGGGGGAAAAAAGAGCAAATGTTTATCCCAATACAAGAACATGCATTAGAGATTTTTTTTTCTTTGACATGCTAAAAAGTGGGATTGGTACTCCAATGTTATTTTTTTTCCCCCAAAAATCATATACCAATGTATAAAATAGTTTTTTTATTTTTTAATTTAAATTTTAAATGAAAATTAATTTTATACTCGTGGAAATACACTTATAGTTACCCTTACAATATTACATAACATATTATAACTTTTTATTTAAAAGAATTGTTTTAAATTGTGTTGGAATTTTAAAAAGGTTTTAAAATTTTAATCATTTTATTTATTTAATCATTTTAGATTTTTATTTTGTTTATTGTGGGGTTATAAATATTTCATATTCAGGTTTTATTTCTATATTGAATGTCTTAATTTTCTGGTTGGTGAATGTTATATGTTATTGGATGCTTATAAAAGGCCACTCCTTCTTCACATTTGTAACAACCACAATACATCATCAGAATATCACATACCACAATCATCACCACAAACTAATTCTCTCATTTTCTACTTTTATATATATTCTCTACTTTATATTATTATTTTGGCAATGGTTCTGTGACTTGGATACCTATATCCGTCTATGAACGTGCTCATAGCGGATCTTGAGTTTGTGTACAAGAGGTCGTATCTTGGAATTTTGTAGACCGTCTGTATCTGCACGTAGGGAGGTTACAAAGACTTTAGGGCAGCATCTTTGACGTGCTTCACTGTACCAAACTTTCCTTCTTACTTATTATTTATTTTGCTTTTACTTACCTATTATTTTGTTTTCTTCAATTTCATTGTACCTTAAAAGCTTTCCAATTTGTTTATAAGTTATTTATAATATAAATATTTTTGTATTTAGCTTTATGGAAAAAAAAATTATATATTTTCATAACAAATTGTTCCTTGGAATAAATATTTTTACTTTAAAAAAAGTTCAATTAAATATTGAGCCTTCTACCGTTTGGCAAAAAATAAATAAATAAGGATTGAGCCTTTTCTAAAGGACCTTTGCTTAAAACGAGCCCAAGGCATGTGCCTAGCTGATTGGGCCGGTCTCACTGTAAACGGGTTTAACATGGTTTAGCCGGTTGATAGAATAAAAAGGTAGAATGAAGATGGTCGTTGATCCGTGTCATGGCTTTTTGTAGAGATTGGCTGGTAGTGAAGAAATTTTTATACGTTCAGAGTACACCACCTGCTTGTTGTATTATTCAATACATATAGGACATGCGGTAGTGGGTTTTTTTTGTCATACTGGTAGTGGGTTTTGTCAAGGTTGTTTTGTGGAATGGACTTCTTGATTCAGGCCTCAAGCCCAAAAGAGTGGGACTGAAGATGAAATAAGTAGAAAAAAAAAAAGAAAAAGAGTCTCACTAAAACACCCAAAATGGGGACTGAAATTATAAAAAAAACCCAACACCCAAAACACTTTATAAATACACCCAAAACTCATCATTACACATACTCAAAACTCATTTATAAACACACCCAAAAAATATACAATTGTTGATTTTGGGATTGATTTTGAGTGTGTTTCTATGTTTAAATAGTGTTTGAGTTTTTTTTTATAAATACATGTCTAGGATTGGGTTTATTTATAAATTTGTAATTAAAAAATGGAAATGGAAATATGATACATTAAAAGATCCATGCACTCGAAGTTCTGTGTTTGAGTCCCTTATACTCTAATATTGCTTGTATGAAAGAAAAAAAAAGAAAAAGAAAAGACAGTCAACCATTTGAGAGAAAGGGAGAGTTTACATTCATTGAACAATCTTTTCCTTTGCTTACAAAGTCACATGAACCACTTTTGGTTACTCACAAGGTTTTTATACAAGCCACTTTGGCTGCATTACAACATTAGCAATGTAATCCCAATTCTACTTGCCAAAATTCTATCCTCACCACCTAATTCAGCACTGTTTCCTCCACCAAATTGCTCTTACACCAACCCCACTCACATAAAGTTAAAAGAAAAAAAAAAGGAAAGAAGGAAATTACAGAAACATTTGTTTTTTGTATAAAAATAAAGAATAACAATTTACAACAATTCAATTTAAAATTTGGCACACCTTGATGGCAGACCTGTTTGATGATCAACCATCACTATCTCTGTGGCATTATTGCATCCAATTACATCCTGCCCCAACTTGGCTCCAGCTGCCTTTAGGCCCTTAAGGGAGACTGGCTGGTTGAAGAGGTTCAAAGATGGCAACCTTGAGGCTGGAGGCAATTTGCCACCTGGCAAAAAGTTTCTAAAGTCTTCCTTCAACAATGGCACTTCAAAATCTGACTTGTCATGCTTCAAAACATTGTCCTTGGCACTGATATGAGCCCCAGGCTCCATATGATTAGTGGAAAAGCTTGCCTGGTTTGGAAAATTGGGATAAAGAGTCACATATCCTCTGAGGTACATCATGTCTATCAGAAACTTTTTCCATGAAGCTTGCCAACCATTGGTCCTAGACCTGGGAATTTGAACTGGGTTTTTCTTGGCATCTTCAGTGAACCTCATGTTCATGTAGACATAAAATTCTCTCCATTGCTTGGGGAAGAAGACAGCACCCCAACTGCAGGGCAACTGATGGAAATAAGGTGTATTTGGATGGATTTTCTTGAAAAACTCGGATGGATTCCATTTAGGCCTTTCTTTCACCACTTCAACCAGCCTGGGGGTGTAAAGAGAAATTGAGGATAGCTCAGGGAGAGAGACTTGTGGATCATAATGGTAGGCTAAGAGGGCATATTTGATCCATAGATAGTAGTAAGGAGAGACTTCGATATCGTCCTCAAGTAGCAGACCAAAATCATCATCAGATGAAGGGTACCAACTCTCACTGACAGCTCTAATAAGCCCCCCTTGGATGATTCTCCTTTTGAGGGTTTTAGGTCCATGAGGCCATTCGAATGAACTTACTAGTCTAATAGTTGCCTCATCCACTTTACTGTCCATGTTAAAGCTGATAGGTACCTCATCCCCAAGATAGTAGGCATCACTGAGAGACTTGAGAAGCCTTGTAAGTGAATGAACTCGGTTTTGGGTGATGATGTTGATAGAAATCCGCATTCGGTTCCAATCTGCATTCGATAAATAGGTTGGTTAGATGAAAGAGAATCAGAATGCAGTTTGAAAAAAAGGAGGAAAGGGTACCAAATGTTACTGATATATTCTGAAGCGAAGTTTCAATCAACTAATAGAAGTTGAAAGGTATCCATTAAAAGTTTGTATAGCCCAAATTAAAATGGAAATGAATAACAGAAAAGTTACTATTCTTACTTGCCAATGCTGTTGTTCTAAGATCAGCCATCCAGAGAACCTTTGGAATTGAAGGCCTTGGTAAAAGAACCAATGTTGTAGCATTCAGATTAGTCTCTGCTGCCATTTTCAATGCTTTCTTCACATTAGGGTCAATGTCAGCCACTGTGATCACCACCCTTGGGTTGTGAATTTTGATCAAACCCTTCATGCTAGAATACACTCCTTGCAGCACTACCACCTCCGAGTTTGATACTCCCGAAAGAGCCCCCACAGCCAAATCGAATATCTTAAACCTTCGCTCTTTGCAGACCAACTGAGGCCATTTTAGAGCAGTTGCTGCATCTTCACAAGCGCAGTAATTGCCTCCGGAGACAGCAATATAGGCTTTCTTTCCAACAGTAGACCTGAATTTCTCAAGAAGGGGTGCGAGTGCCTTAACTTCATCAACAGAATGAGCATAGAAGAGAGCATCAATTTTTTGAGGATACATTGCAGCCCACTGAGTGATATAACCAGTTGATAGTGCTTTCCACCATTGATCATCTCTGACTTGAACAATATCTTTGAAAATTACAGTGGTTTCAGACACATAAGCAAGCCTATGTTCACTGTCACCCCAAGTTTCCTTGTCATTCGGGTCAACTGGTAGAACAAATGAGCCAGCATTTCTGTACTTTTGTAGCTGATAGCTGCATTTTTGCCAAGAAAGGTAACCATTAGAAACTTATTCAAATGGTATATAATACATAGCAAATATTTTGAAAACAGTAAAGTTTTGGTTAACACTTGGGTTTAATCAAAATCCAATCATATCCCAGGATGAAAATCTAACTATCCATTTTCTTTGTTCTTGTGCAACGAAATTCTTACTTCTCACCACAAAATATATATATATATATATATATATATATATATAGTATTCTTGTGGTAGCTCAGAATTTAACATCCATTACCTTATTAATTGTTTTTTCCTTTGTTGTAAAACAATGTTCCAAATATTTTTCAAGGGAATATTTAAAATTCTAGTTGTTAGTGGGGGCTCTGTGATCTGCAGCTTAATAAAATATTCCATTGATTTGTTAAATTCCTAGCACCCTAATGGAGCTGAGTATAATA